CCTAATACAAGATTATAGTCCCCCATAGTAACCCTGGCATCCCTCACCCAAGCCTCCGTGTGCCCCTCCTTGCCCCCAGACTCTAATCTCCACACTCCAGCATCACTGCAAAATTAAGCTGTGAGGGAGCTGGGAGTCGCTTTAACCCCGCTCAGTCTAAAAGGCTCTCAATACACCCTATTGAAAAAAGTCTCGGAGCAGTCAACAATCCCCCCCCTATATGTCTCATATCTCCCTTTACTGCCGTATGGCATCAATTTCTTTCTGTCCTCCGTGCCATCTCACCTCAGTGAGGAAAAAAGGCGGGATTTCAAGGTGAACATGCAGGTATACATACAAGAGATAAGTCATGGAGCCTGCTGCTTACAGGTTGCTAGTGAAATCTACAGTCAGCTTGCAGACTTTTTCATAGTCCAAAATGGAGGTGAAATACTACAGAATGAAAATAATGAGCACAAGCTTCTGCATTCTGTGGGAGATACATTCATAAACCTTTTTGAAAGCAGTCAGCTCTTAACAAGCGTGACGCCTGGGTATAGACTCTAATACACAAAGACAATTTTTCTAGATAATAGCCTATCACGCAGGATACAATTTGAATTAAAAAAATGCAATTTTCACCTTGAAATGAACAAATGATTACAATTTCTATACAAATTAAGGCATCCAGGCAGCGCCTCAGTGCACAGCTCAGGCCATGAAACCTGACATAATTACCATGAAATACATTCTCAAATATTTGTATTTTGTCCATCGCTTTAAAACACGCCAGTCAGCCTTCATCTGATCTCACCTTCTGGGGCAAACACAGAAAAAAAAGAGTGGAAATCATCTAAGATGAAAAGCCCTTTAACAGGCCAGATAAAAATGTGTAAAAAAGGGATAGGGGGGGAAAAATAAAACAAACAGTAAATTGCTGCCGTTCAGCCTGACAGCCCCTGGAGTTATCTCTAAAAGCCAAATTACAGAGTCTTATCATGGGAATCATATCTAATGGTTATCTATACTCAGATGTTTCTCTCTCTCTCTCTCTCGCTCCTCTCTGCACCCCCTGTTCTTTCCCAAAGATTGCATTTACTTATGATTAGGAATATCTTTAGAAGAAAAGATGTTAACTTGAGCATTTCGTTTGGAAAGTTATGGTGAATTGCAAGTGGCATAAAAGAACAAGGCATGTAATTCAGAGGTGAGTGCAGCCTCCAATGATGAGAGAGATGCATGCCAATGACCAGGTGGCATCTATATGCAAATACAGTCTCAGGAAATTTTATATCACCAAGTGTAGAATTCTGAGATTATTGTGGATAATATAATAATATAAAACGGTTAGTTCCACTCATTGATTCTGATTGGTCAGTAGCTGTGTTTTATTCAAGATAAAACACGACTTTGACCGCTTCACCCAACGGTCCTGTAGGCCTATCACTACTCAACACCCCTAGCAACCACTCTTTGCAATGTTTAAAACAATGGGTGATGCGACCTGGGAAAACCCTACCCATCACATGGGGAAATTTTACCTATTACATGTTTTTATGCCATATTAAAGCTGGGTTCAAGCCCTTTCCAAACCTGTTTTTATTTATTTCATCGTTTCTGTAACAAAAGTTAAGTCCTGCTAGCGGGACTAATTTTTTTTATTGCTTTTTTTTTCATATCACATATTTTAGTAATCATCATAGATTGTATCATTCGAAAGCTTACGAACTCAAAATTCATCCGATTGAGAGGCGAGCAAGATCTTTTAAGCGAGCGAGCAGCTAACGTTACTGACAGTTGTTCGCTTGTGCTCCCCTCCGCATCTCACGATAACGTTGGAAACAAAATAAAAAATTAACTTGCGTGCCGTTGTAGTTTACACAGGAGTGGCGGGAAATGCACATTGATACTTCTATTCTGTTATGTGGTTTATTTTGATAACTGTCTTTGTAGTGTTGTTAAGAACTATGGGCGATTTTTTTGTTTTTTGCACCTCCGCCGTGCGTGTTCTTAAATAATAATAAATTAATGATAACCCAATTTAAAAAAAAAAAAAAAAACCTGACATTCGATCTACTGAAACCATACCAGCGCGACATCCGACGGGTTTTCCCAGATCGCATCACAAATGTTTGTTGATAGGCCTAGGCCTAATTATTTAGGCTATTAAAGTAGAGAATTGTGAGAGACCGAATAAGCGAGTGTAGCCTACCTGCATTTACAGTAGCCTTTTCCTTCAGGTCAGTCTTATATTCGTAATGAAAATCCGTTTGAATGTCCTTAAAATGTTTTCCTGGTTTTCCCGTTTGTCAGTTGCGTCTTCTCAGTGTTTACGAAAAGTTACTGTCCTTTCAATATAAAAGTATTTTCTACTGACTGACTCAATCGAAGACAGTGTTTGCCGCGAAATAATTCTGTTGTTGCTGTTCACGGCCAGGGACTATTTTTTTCCAGAGGAAGCTAGGATTTTAGTGATTTACTTCATGAAAGTTGCATTGATACATGTATTTATATTTTTTCGCTTTAAAAATATAATATAAAACCCTAATGTAGATAACTGATTAGAAGAAAAAAAACAAGAAAACTATGAGGAAACAGTTATTTGAACAAAAATACATAAAATGTGAAGTGTCACACAGGGAATTGTGGGAATGTCAATTTACGGTTTTTCACTGTAAATTATACAATGAGTTGTTCTTTTTCACTTTCAGAAACTGTAAATTTAACGGTATTTTACAGTAAAATTACATTAAATGTACCATGAGATTTATCACAGTTATTTACCGTATATAGTACGGGAACTTTCTGTTAACCAATTAACAGTTTTGCACTGTAGCATTTTTATAGTCTTTTACCGTTAAAATCACGATTATTTTTACAGTGTAGCCTATTTCTTCTCCAAGCAAATTGAAACATATATTACAACAGACACCACTTTACAAACAACATATGGCCTTGCTGACCTTTTCTTTGATAGATTTTCATCTCACACAGTTCTGAATATTGCAGAAGGAGAACAGCAGCAGTTGTCTTGGAATGATGGAGGGTTTTGTGGATTTACTCTCTCTCTCTCTTCTTCACATGTGAAGGCTTGCTTCATGCCCAATGAAGCCTTTAACAATGCTGGAGAGAACTTGTAAAGACTTTTCCCTTCCTATACCTCCCCTCCCACTCCTCTATCTATCTCTGCGCACTGTCTGCCTGAGAGGCGCACATCAGATTTCAACACTTGACCTCATAATGCTGGGGGTCAGCGCCACACCAGCAGCAATTTCACACACAAGATGAAAGGGAAATTAACATTGAAGTTGTTTGAGGCGGCAGCTCTGGGTTCTGGCCAGCTCAGGCGGCAGTCTCCTAACCCCACCACACTGTGAGCCACAAAGAGGGCGAGTGAAGAACAGGGCTGCTGGAAGCTGGAGGAATGCAGACGTCCTCCCGCTGGAGGCTTAGCCCCTGACCACCTCAACTCAAGGACCAGAAGGCTAAAGAGAGCAAAGGAGAACACAGCGCTGCGGCATATCAGAAACAAGGTATTAAAAACAGGGCTTTGTGACCTTCAATTGCAACCGAGCCGTGTTTTTGATGGTCTCCTGTGGAAATTCAATTTTAGTTTTATACTTTGACAAGTGCATGTGGAAAAAAAGAGAGAGAGAAAAAACATGCACAATATGTTTTTGTAAATGTATTTTTAAAAATCCTCATGGATGTAAGGAGTAAAAAACTATTTAGAAGAAAAAACACTTGTGATTAACATAAAATTCTGATACTGAACCATCTCAAAAATATTCCTCTTCTCTCCTCCATTCACATCATGCAGGTGGATCTTTTTGCATTCTTGAGCTGGAAGATGGATAAACTAAAAAGTTCATTACATTGTTAAAGTGTTACTAATCCCATGTACCTGCCACTGAGCACCTCCGAAAATCTAATGTGACACACTGAGATGGAAAATCTATTCTTTTTGTCAGTGTCCCTGACTGTGTTACCGTTGCTCAATGGTAATTTCCCTCACCTTAACCAACCCTCCCCCAAAAACAATTTACCATTCTGTTGCCATTATGTCTTACCAAGACCAGTGCAGATTCAGTCACGACCTTCATATTATGTGAAAATTGGACTTTGCAAACTTGACACAAGCAGGAGAGCAGGCAAAATTGCTTTTCGCTCAAAAAGCCCAGCATGAGTTCTTCAAAATTCAGCTTCCTATAGGAGGAACTGCAGTGCACACTAATGTCACCATCCACTCACAAAACCCTTAAATTAAATATAGAAATATTTAGAACAGATTATTTTGAATTACTGAAATTTTAAATAATTTTAAGTCTTATTTTAATTTTGAAAATAAAGGTTCCAGGGGTTTTCAGAGCAATGCCAATAAAGAACCTTTTTGGTTCCCCAAAGAACTTTTCAATCAACAGTTCTTAAAATAACCATTTTTATTCTAAAGAACCTTTTTTATATATTTTTTATTTTTTTATTGGCATAACAACCTAGTTGTCTGGTGAGCTCATCAACAATAATAACGCTAAGAGACAATATGAAACATATAGATACAAAAAACAACAACATACATACATACATATTTTCTACTAGTACCTTTTGTGGAATGGAAAGGTTCCATGGATGTTAAGGATTCTTTGTGGAACCATCAATGCCAGATCATTTATCGTCCAATAAATTTGATGGTAATGTAATTCATTTCCTAAAAGGAAACACATCACCATTGATTAAAGGGATAGTTCACTTTGAAATTAATTTTTGATATGTTTTAGCTTTCCTCAAGGGCATCCAATATGTAGGTGTCTTTGTTTCCGCAGTAGTTTCAATTTTGATATTTTTAGGTCAAACCGTTCTTGTCTGTCAGTCATATAATGCAGGTCTATGGTCACCACCTCAAAGAGCATGCACAGAGAAGTCCAAATTAAACATGATTTAATGACTCGTAAATGTAAGCACACATTGATGGCCTAAGACACGAAACGAGCGGTTTGTGTGAGAAAACGAACAGTATTTATATCGTTTTTACCTCTTGTAACCACAGCCACGTCCAAGTGATCTGAGGGCGCGGGCGCTTCGGTCTGCGCAAGCGCCGGAAAGCTCCGGAAGTGATCTCTCGCGCGGTTGCGAAAAAAAAACCAACGTTGTCTGTTGATATATCGAAATCGTCTTCCATTGCGATTTCCTGTATATCTAAATATGTTTAGATCTTCACAGTGAAAGGTAACACTTCCGAAATCTCTGTGTAAACAATGAGTGACGTACACGCGCGAGAGATCATTTCCGGCGCTTGCGCAGACCGAAGCGCCCGCGCCCTCAGATCACTTGGATGTGGCTGTGGTTACAAGAGGTCAAAACGATATAAATACTGTTCGTTTTCTCACACAAACCACTCGTTTCGTGTCTTAGGCCATCAATGTGTGCTTACATTTACGAGTCATTAAATCATGTTTAATTTGGACTTCTCTGTGCATGCTCTTTGAGGTGGTGACCATAGACCTGCATTATATGACTGACAGACAAGAACGGTTTGACCTAAAAATATCAAAATTGAAACTACTGCGGAAACAAAGACACCTCATCTTGGATGCCCTTGAGGTAAGCTAAAACATATCAAAAATTAATTTCAAAGTGAACTATCCCTTTAATTCAGGTTTGTTTTGTCTATCACAAAGAAAATACAAAAATATTACATGAAGCAATTGATGTTGGACATATGCATATTGAAAAGGGTGAAATATTCAACAACAATTTGTCCAATTATTTTTTGAGTATCATGTTCTGATTCACACATTGTGAGAGGATCCATTTACCCTTTGCAGCGTGTGACATATATTGAGGTGGACATTTCCCGTTTACATATATATTTTGTGTGACATGCTCAGCGTTGACACAGCTGGGGCTCAAGAATTGTGTCAAACGTCATCGAATGTTTCTGTGTTTCATTTTGTTTTCCCCCTACAGCGCACTAGCATTGTTGACTGTCGCTTCTTCAGCTTTCTAATTTAATCAGTAGTCCCATCGGGCTGGAGAAATGAATCAAGCGTTTGTTTATCCAACATGTCTGTGCGTTTGACTGATGTTCAGCTTGTTTGTGTCATCCCAGAGCTGTGCCCACTTTGTTATTAATTGAGCTCTTTTTGGCCGTCGTTTTGCCTTTTCTAATTCCCTTTAAGGAAACGGGCTTCTTTTCAGATCTGAGGCACTGTGGGTCATTAATTATGACGGTAATAAAAGGTGCTTGTGTTGTGCCAGTCAGCCTCCGCCAGTGCAAGGAATCTTTCTCTGTTAAATGGAGGCTTGTCTTTCTTTGCATTCAGGCTGGAGGGACAGTATTGTATGTAGCACCAACAGGCTTTTGGACACTGAGGCCAATTGCTACGTCTTAATGCAGTTTACAATACGTGCAGCAACAGTTCTCCAAGGCGCACAAGTGCGTTTTTCTTTTGTAGAGGACAAGTTTGAATGGAAGGAAGAATAATTGTGACGAGGGGTCCCATACGTCGTGTAAAGCCTGCGGTCTTGAGAGATGAAGAGTCTTAAGTATGGTTTTATTCTGCATAGATCTTCATTCCACATTTCTTGCTGAGCCACATTGTTTTGATGTTCTCACAAGCTTTGATTGTGTAAATATTAGATAAAGAATAGAGGCTTACAAGTAATCTATAAGAACGTGAAGTCTCACACACATAAATACTATGGAAGACTTTCTTGTTAAGCATTTAAAGGCTTAATCTTCATTATTTGTGGATGCAGTGATGGGCGATACTATGTATCTTTCTATACAGCATTGCCATGGACCACAGAGATATTTCAGCAAATAGCTGAATGCCACGATTGGCCAGTCAGAATCAAGTATTTCAGAGAGTCCAGGTGTTTGAGTCAGTCCAGGTGCTCTATTTTTGAGACAGGTGAAAGTATTAAATCATTTATAAATTTAAATAATTTATAATTGATTGTGACCTAATGATAAATACATTAGCTTTATACCAGTTAAAGTCATCATGAAACAGAAATTGCGATAATCTTTTCTTCTCTAGTGTGACGTATATCCGAGTGAAACGGCTTCTAGAACAATTAAGAAAATAAAAAGTAGGGAGGGACTTGATTTTGTTCATCAGGAATTGATTGGATTGTTGGTTCGTTGTGGTTTGCTATCGCTGTGATGTCACTCAGTAAACACATCATCAGAGACGAGATGTTGCTGTTTAATCAAAGTTAGGCTACTTTGATTAAAGATTTCAAGGACACATGGATAATAATAATAATAAGAATGCACGATATCATTTATAATGAATATATTCCATAAAAAACAAGAATTGTCCATTTTGATTAGTCAATTGTGACTTTAAAGCCCTGGCCTAGCCTACATCTTTTTCTAGCGCACTATTGAGCACGCAAGACATTGAAAGTAGCTACACTCCATTGACCGTTGTTATTTACAAGGTTTGAAAAGCCAATACCACTGTCTTTAAAAATGGTTTATGCATGCAAGTTTTTTCTCTGACTGTCATATAGCCTACTCTCTCTACATGCTACTTCTTTTTACCCCTGTGCAAAGAATGAAAAGAACATCGTCATGAATATATCGGGGCCTTTAGCAGTAATGACTCTTAAGTATGAAAACATATTCAGAATGTCTTGTGGGACTGTCCGTCACTTCTTGAGGATATGTTAATCCCTGAGACGGCAAATCAGTTGCCGTCTGTCTCATGCTCAACACCTGTATTAAATCTTTTATGCTCTCTGGAGTCTCATTGGGATGAAAATAAGAAATCCCCCTTGCATTGTCCCGCATGCAGTCAGGGGAATAGTGAACGTCTGCAGACCTGTGTTTGGGAAAAGGGCAATTACAAATGAATTAAACATCTAGACGAGAGTGGGATTACAAGGCCTTATATCAGTTATAGAATTCTCCTCCCTCATTACAATTGCACACACAGGCATTTGGTACTGATCTAAGAATAGCACAGAAGGGGGAGAACATTTTAATTTGAAGGATTAGAGCCATTCAGATCAACCTGATTGTACAGACATGATGCCGTCAAATGTTTCAGAACACAGTGGGATGACTGAGATTTAGGTACTTATTTTCAAAGAAGGAGCTCAAACCTAGACAGCTCTTTGATGAAGAATATCATAAAACGTCTATACATTTTGAAGGAGAGGCACAGCTGAACTGCTTAGTACCTCGACCCTGTGAACCATCAAAATTATTTACAGTCACATTACATCGTAGTCGCATTACACCACTTTTGTCTATAATCAGCGCAACAATATTTTAACCACTTTTTTCACATTAATCTCATTCACATTTCTTTCACATTCAAATTCAAATGTATTTTAGTTACAGTATATACTTAAGCTACAACTAGAAATACACTTCTGGTTTCACAGACAAGGCTTAAGCCTCGTCCGAGACTAAAATGCATGTTTGAGCTGTTTTAACTGAAAGGAACTTACACTGATATAACTTACAATATGTCAGTGCCATTGTCTGTCTCAAGATGCACACCAGTAGTTTTTTCTAAGACACTTTATAAAGCTCCTTAAATGCCCTAATTGAACTAAGGCCTACTTCTGGCTTTACTAAGCCCTGTCTGCGAAACCAGGCTTATATCACTCCTATTATTCTGGAAGAATAGATTTGCCAGTAGGTAGCGACAGTTGACTGCCTATATGAGTGATTTAAATCATTCTCTCAACCAATTAATTTAAAAACACTGACATTCAGGAACAAAACACCACTGTGCGTGGCCGAAAATGCACTGTAAACACTAAATACTACTAAATCTCCAACTTAACATTAATCTTGCACAAAAAACATTAAATAACACATCATTTGAGCATTTACTCTCCCTTTCGAGTGTCACGGCAAAGCATGCTGTGAAGTTCAGTTTCAGTTAAATTTAAGTTTGTTTAAATTAAAGAAACAAGTTCATTAAAATTCAAAACAATGAAACAATTCAGAGGATTTAAAATGTGTTAGTTTTGTGAATTCAAAAGAAAAGGAAAGAGTTATATACTCATAAAAGTTCATTTGATTGAACTCATTTGTTTAATTTACGTTTACACTACTCAAACCATTTAATTATTTTGAGCATTTGGGTTGACAGATGCAGAAGGGTTAAGGCAGCTGTGGCTTTGTTTAAAACAATATTAATTTGAGGAGTAAAGCTTTAAATATATAGGAATACTGAATACATAACAAATTTGACATGTTTTTATGGAAAATTGTGGTGTTTATTATAAATATGCCTAATTTAACAAACAAAACAAAAAATATTAACTTCCCCTCCTCGCAACCTGCCACTCATATGAGATCTCAGCTGTTAGCAACCAACAATCCATTCGCGATGGACAAAATCAAATCCTTCTCTACATTTTTTTTTCTTGTCTTGTCATCTCATCGCAGGTGTTGGGGCATCTGAAGTCTCCGTAAGAGGCTGGATACAAACTGGAGCTGACGAACGCTATTTACCTCGGGACTGGCGTCCCGAGATAACAGCAGAAAAGCAGATGGGAAATAATTAGCATAGCTGCTGTTCATAATATTAATGCATTCGATCTGATTCAACAGTAGTATAAAAGGTAAGCATTATGTGAATTAAACTGGGACAGCGAGTCTGAGCCTCGAACAGTATCAGGAAGGCTATTCCAGAGTTTAGGAGCTAAATGTGAGAACGCCCTCCCTCCTTTAGTGGACTTAGATATCCTATGAATGACCAGAAGCCTCGAATTTAGTGATCTTAAAGAACGCGATGGATTGTAGGGCGATAGAATGTCCATTAAATACACAGGAGCTAAACCATTTAGGGCTTTATAGGTCATAGTAGTACTTTGTAATTGATACGGAACTTCAATAGGTAACCAGTGTAGAGATTATAAAATTGGTGTTATATGATCATATTTTCTTGCCCTATAAGAACTCTAGCAGCTGCATTTTGCACTAACTGTAGCTTGTTTATTGAGGAGGCAGGACAACCAGCTAATAAACCATTACAGTAATCTAGTCTCGAGGTCATGAATGCATGAACTAACTTTTCTGCATCAGAAACAGATAGCATGTTACGTAGCTTAGCAATGTTTCTATGGTGGAAAAAGGCTGTTCTTGTAACATATGAAATATTATTTTCGAAAGACAAGTTGTGGTCTAGTATAACACCCAGGTGTTTTACTGTAGTGGATAAAGTAACAGGACATCCTTCTAAATTAAAGTTGTATTGTAAGAGGTTTTGTGGGTAGTTTTTTGGACCAATAAGTAATACCTCCGTTTTATCTGAATTTAATAGCAGGAAATTACACGTCATCCAGCATTTTAAGACACTCTGTCAATTTAGATGAGTTAGTGTTTTCATCTGGTCGTGATGAAATATATAATTGAGTGTCATCAGCATAACAGTGGAAATTAATTCCATGTTTTCTTATAATATTACCAAGTGGCAGCATATATATTGAGAATAGCAGAGGGCCTAACACCGATCCTTGCGGCACCCCATAGTCTACTGACGTTATCTTCGATTTTTCCCCATTTAAACAGACAAAATGGTAACGGTCTGATAAGTATGATCTAAACCAGTTTAATGCCTGTCCCTGAAC